AAAGTACAAGAAAAATTCACCTGTCGAAAATTTAAAAGTTTTAAAATCATTTTTTGTAAAATTATGTCCTTAATAGTTCTCATTTCGTTAATTTTGGTCGTCTAATAAGACGCAATAGGCTTAGTCCACAATTTCTTCAGTTTTTGTCTGTTGGAAACAAAATGATGTCCCTTTTTTTTACATCCTGGCACTGCAAAATTTGTTATTTTAATTAAATTCTAAATAAAATTAATAAAATTCTAGCCACGCTATAGACCTTTACAATATACTGAGGGCTATAGTGATAGCGACATCTGGCGGGAGAAGAAGACAAAATTCTTCCCCATTGTTTTCGTTCTTAATATATTTAATTGTACCTAAAAGCTGGCTCTTTTTTTTTCTTTTTTTTTATTTCATTTATTATTAAAAAAAAGTATGTTCTTACAAATATCGCTTTTTGGATATTTTTGATGATACCGAAGTATTTTTGATGCAGAAAAATGTTAGTAGTTAATTTGGGCTAACGTCTAATTGTAGCTTAATATTATTTGTTTTGTTTCTTGCATCACATAACATACTCATACTTATACTTAAATATTAAATATTGCTTTTAAAAATAGATATTTTAAAGTTAATAGTAAATAATTTAAAACAAGGGTAATAAATTAATGAACAAGAATTTATTATAAAAATATTTATAATTCACGTTTAATTTTAACAAGAATCCAATTAGAAAAAGAAATACAATATCCATAAAAGATAAATAGTAAAAAAGAATAATTGTTCCTTTATATATATTACTGAAGTTGGCATCCATATTTATGATACAATTTTCTTACCTAATCTTTTTACTTGCCATGCAAGATATTTATTTAGATTTTAGCACTTCACATAAAAATTATAATAGTTATAAAAACAAAATGCTATATCACTATCCATCTTGTACTTAAACGCTCAATAAATTAATTTTTGTTGTAGTATGGTAAATTTATTATCTGCAAAGTTTCCGAACGTTATAAATAAATAATCGATAAAAATAACGAAGTGCACTCGCACTGCGAATGTCCTTGCACCACTCCACCATTTTGATTAGCTTATATATTTTTGTATATTTTATCATATTTTTTTTAAATGAGTCTTGGATTGTAGATCTCTAACCCAAACTGCATCCAAATCCTTTTACACGTTGATGTTTATGTAAAAGATTAATATATTGAGTCCACTTTCACAACAACGTAGGTACTTAGGTAGTAACATCACCACTTGCATTGTTTACAGATATCACACATCTATTTTATCATACTTTCAGGGTTTCAAAATATATTGTAAATAGCATAGCTTGAGGTCAAATGCTTTATTTATTAGATAGACATTGAAAAATACAATGAAATCTTAAAACTATGACACAGTAATTTGTTTTGGGGCCGAATATGCATTCCTAACACATTTTTATTCTAAACATTTATTTTTTTGTTCCTTCGAAATTTATTTAATGTGATAAAACGTTTAGATACATTTAAAATATATTGATCTCCTACGTCTACAGTGACAAATGGTAGATCATATTTGGGACTGGGTGTGTCTACTTTTACATCAATATTTCATTGTGAGTAAAATAGCATTATATGCTTAATTGTTTAAGAACGCTCTCAATTCCTCCTCAGATATTAATTCATCTGGAAGCTCCTCAACTAACTCGCTTGGAAGCCCGAGCTTGATCGTCGTCCCGAACATGGCTTCGTACGGGCTGCAGTTAATGCGGGAGTTGTGCGCTCCGTTCATCATCAGCTGGATGAAGCGTATGCCTTCCGACCATTTCTGGGAGTTGTTTTCCGTCAGCCACGATCGGATCATGTTTTCTATGTCGTGGTTGGCTCTCTCGCCGTGACTGTGGGAGTGCCTGGGCGAACCGTGCACCATTTTCAGTTCTGGCCACAAGGTGGCCATTTCCTTTATAATGTTGTTAGCGAACTCCCGGCCCCTGTCGCTCTGCAGTATATTAGGCGCACCAAACATTGTGAACACGTCCAGCAGAACCAGCGTTACGTCTCTTATCCTGTCACTCATGAGAGGACGCATCTGGATAAATTTTGTGACATGGTCACGGTAGACCATGATGTATTTATAGTCGCCATCTGGTTGGGCTTGCATATTTATTATGTCAATCTGGCCTCTCGAATTCATCTCAGTTGTCAAAATTGAATTTTCTGCTGAAGATTTCCTCGAGGCATTGTGCTTTTTCTCGCAGGTCTTGCATAAGTGCAGATAGACGCCAATCATCTCCCTCGTAATATTTTTATATTTAGAATTCAATGCCTTCTCCATTTTGTTTCGACCGCCATGCCCTATGGCTACATGAATCTCATGTATTATCTCAAATATTTCTTCCGTGTTGACGTAAAATTTTGCCACACTGCCCTGCTTAGGGGGAGCGATCAGTTTTTCTTTATCTCCTTCAGCGAAAACATCGAATCTGCGGAGACGTTGATAGTCTTCGGGCTTCTTATTTTTATTACCCTTGGAGATTTTAACTTTTTGTATCATTTCCGCGTATTGCAATTTAGAGAATATCTTCGTGTTCTGGCTTTTGGACGAAATAAGTTCGCCCAGTCGTTTATTGAACCGATGGTTCATATCGCTTTTTGTATACTTCATCTTGTGATCTCTCAGATAGCTTTTGTTATGAAGATAATTGGCAGAAGTACACGTCCTTAGCCTTCAGGTGACGAGACTAGACTGGGGAGCTTGTTTTTGTTATCGAGCGGTCCCCGGGCCCGGTGTACGCAGCTCGCTTTCATTGGCCCACGATTATTGATCCTTGCATCCAGGTCCTCGCGACGACGCATTTATACTAAGGCTTTTACCACAATTTCTAGGCTTCGTTTTACAAAATTTAATTTTATTAATTCCCAATTTATTATTTTGACGTACTACAAAAATTAATATAACTTTTGATTTAGTACATTATTTAAAATGGTAGTCATGTATCATTTTTGGGGCTTTATCTAAATAGAGCCTAAAATGAATAATCTAGAAGCATCCAGTGAGAGGGCAGCGCCATCTGTTAACAGGTACAAGGAGAAACAGTTTCATAAAATTTACTATTAGATGGCATGCCATGGTAACTATTATTCAGTAATATTTATTAAACTATGTTTTATTTGTCTTAAAGTAAATTTTCGAGCAATTTTAAATGGATGATAATAAATGGAAATGGAGTGTAATATAAGTTCAAATTTTTAGTAAACTGCTCTAAAACAATTATTACTAATGACAAACCCAATTCCCAAACTATTTGTATGATGCTTTAAGTTTTAAATCGTTATAACTAGTTTTGATAAAAAAAAACAATATGATATGATCAAATAAAACACAAATGTCCCTTAAAATTGATTTATTTAATACTGTAACAAAACAATCACAAGTGGCAGCGCGCCGCCAAAATACTTAATAGGAATGTTTTCTTAAAATAAGAAAACCTAATCATTTTACTTTAAATATATATCTTTAGTAAACATTTCCAAAAGCCCTTATTGAATTGACTTGAACTGTTTTGAAGGCAGTATTTTAGGTAAATATCTCGTAAATAGAATTTTGTTTCATTTCCAATTTTATGTAACTACGTTTCTTCATAGGGTAAACAGAATGTCACTGTGAATTCACAAATGAATTTTAGAATATAAACGTTATAAAACAAAATGGTAAGCGTTTTTTTTTCTTAGATTTAAAATGTACCATAGCACTATTACAATTCTTTATAAGCTTCAAATCTTAAATTAACATTCTTGTTTACCCTAAAAAGAAAGGTTCGGATATTCACAGGCACTTCACTAACAATCACATACTGTGGAATACAGAAATAAATTACAAACGGGCGGATTTAATTCGTACATTTGAAAATTCTTGAAAAAACATAGGCATATAGTATATTTCCGAAAATATATTTTTTGTTGGAATTATTCTTTGTAATGTTATATGTGCAGTCGCGACTAACTATTAGGCTGTTTTCAGACAGAGTGTGATTATTGTTATTACTTGTGTTAAGGCCTAAGCCATGTGTGAGAGTAAAACGTGACACTAAAAAGTTGGAACTGTAACAATAATAACCACCTCCAATCTCCATTCATTAATAAATAATGACAATTCGATCCAATTTATCACTGCAGTGGAACACTAGTCGCAGAATCGTTACAAAATTTTCAAATATTTTTAATATTATCACATTTTATACAGACATTCTAACATTATATAAGTATTACCTATACATTTGAGAACGCAATATAAACTCTAATTTTAATTCAACGTTCACTTTGCGATCATATCGCTTATTTACTTATTGAATAGTGAAAGTATTAATATTCTAGAACACTACGGAAGCTTTAAAGTACAAAAATACACATTTTAAATGTATTTTATTTAATATACATGTATACATTACGTCCTCGTCATGAAGGGTACTGTAGTGTCTGCGGATGCATACGATTGATATAAATGCCTTCTACACAGTATGATTGGATACATCATAGCTTTACTGCTAATTTATTGACAGAACGAATTACTAGATTTGAATATTTAGTGACCAATATTTAATTCAGCGCGTATTGTATGTAACTATATTGTAGTAACAGTGGAACAGCGTCGAGGAAACGATACATTTTAAAACATTTTTTCTATAAATAGCAATTAATGCCTCGTAACCTAATATTTTATCACAATTTGATAATGCACTAGAAATATTCTCACACATGTATAAAGTTAGATATCTATCTACATTCCTTAAATCTATGTAAATGGCTACAGAGATTCAGGGCTACATACAAATAACTATAAAACACAACCCGCTTCGCGCGAACTACGTACTGTTACTCTAATCTCGGAACATATCTGAGCTACATACTCAATGTACAATAAGAATAACAAAATAAAATAGTATAAAATGAAAATGATAATAAAAGCGAAATACCGATAAAATGTTAGTCCTTAATGATCGATTGAGCCTTAATCTATCTTAGTCTTGTCTATTCTTCGCCCCTAATTATGTCTAGGATGCTGACGTAGGAGCCGGTGAGAAAGCCCAGGATGCCGAAGCAAACGAGGAAAGTGTTCTTCCAGAGCACCCAGTTGTACCGGCCAAGTCCGTTAGGTCTGTCCCAGAAAGTGACAGTTTCTATGACAGCCGGGAAGATGAGACCTAGGAAGGACAAGCAGACCGCACCAACTAGTGAGATGAAGCCTCCAAGGTTGGGGATGGCTATGGCTGCACCGAGGGTCATCATGATGATAACAATCCTGATGCTGTACTCGGCAAGATTCTTCTTGGCTCCGAAAAAATGACACACATTCTTCCAGATGATCTCCATGGGCACGTAGAACTGAAGACTGTATGTGAAGAAGATGGCTACTGCAATCATCAGTTTCACACTCTGGCCCAATCTGAAATATAGTAAGTGATGTGGTGAGAATCTATTAATATTACAGATTGCTAAATCATTGGGAATTTTTGGGATTCCAACTCCATCATTAATAAAAACCGATCAAGTGCGAGTCGGATTCGCACACGAAGGGTTCCGTGTTATCGTAGAAGTTTTTTTTTCATATTCATGTTGTTATTATTATTATTGTTAAAAGGACTGAACACGCTAACCAATACCAGCATAATCGATTTTGTTCATATTGTTTGTTATTATAGCGGCAATAGAAATACACACTATGTGAAAGTTTCAACTGTGTACCTGTTACGGTTTATGAGATACAGCACTACGACAGATTTACGGACGGACAGCGAAGGCTTAGTAATAGGGCACCCTTCGGGTACGGAACCCTAATAAATGGAAGCCTAGTATGTCAAATTAGAATTTAAGTAGCTTGTAAAAGTGCTGCTCCCTATTTGCATGTGGTATTTATTCACCTTAAAAAGTAACGCTTTTAGTTATAAGAACATACTGTATATAATAATAAGTTGTAATATTGTAATTGCCACTGGTGAATTGAATAAACAAATAAATCGCTTTTGTTATTTTAATCTTTCATATTTATATACTATCCAACTATACAGACAAGAATATGACAAATCAGCTATAATCATAAAGTTGGGGCAAATAATGATAATTAAATAAATTTTTATATTTTTTTAATTTACCCCTAGTAAATAAAAAAATATATTCTTGAATTCATTTGGAGTATATGAAATGAAGCAGTCGTTATGGTGGAAATAATTTCTATTTAGCATAATGTAAAAAATACGTAATCCCTTAAAATATGCAACTGGTGATAGCTATATTTTACAGTATATAGAACCAGATTAAGCTATAATCATTAAAAGAAAAGTTCCTAGTTTAGTAAACCTATGCTATATGCTCGAGGGATAAAAGAACATTAAATGAATTATATTAAATTAGAAACAGTACCACCATTTCATATCACATTCAGAAAGTATATTTATATTGAAAAATTAAACTAATTATAATTAATAAGCATGTCAATTTAAATCCATGCTAGTTTTTATATTAAATAATAGATTTTTTATAAAATAGTTATAGTTATCTCTAAAACTGTATTCAGAGATATCAAATTTACTACATATATAAGTTGGTAAGTTGGATGTGTTTCACAGCTGTAAGAAAAATTAAACCAGTGCTTTTTTAAAATTATCTGATACGTTTTGAAAAAATAGCTAATGTTTTCAGTCTAATCTTTAACATTTATAGTGTTAAAAAGTATTCTATACATGATGTTTTTTTTTACATTAATAAATGTGAATACTTACATTTCATCTTCAGGCAAGTTCAGCGTGATGCTACCCAAAGTGGCATCACCATATTTTAAATAACCAAAGAATCCAACCAGTGCATAAAGTGACACCACAAAGAACATGCCAGTGTTCAGCACTCCAGGGCAGCCAATAAAGTGGGTTGGGGTTTTCATGTTGTTTTCCAATGGCATTACAACACCAATACCTTCAAGAGCGAAGATAGCAGTTCCGAAGAAAGTTGGTAGGCGCTCCCATCCAGCAAATGGCTTGCGTTCACTAAGACCGGGGATATCTTGGAATAAGTAGTAGAAAGTTATTCCCATGCCAGTTCCGACTAAAAGGTTAGCAATCATGGAGAATGGGGCCAAATATTTAAGATTCCTTATGAGGTTCATTAAAATTAGAAGAGGAAGTAGCGCCACCATGTAGATTCTGATGTCGATATCGTGGGGCAGCCATTCACTGTCTTTTGCGTGGTAGTCTACAACTTGCTTGACATTCTTAGCGACAAACACGATGTAAACACAGCAGCAACCAAGTAAGTCGATCACGAGGAACCAATTTATCATAGCTCTGAAAAAATTAAATTACGGAACATATGTTAATACATTGAAAATTTTTTAGCGCGCTCTGTCTATATAATTTAATAGCTCTTTAGTCTGAGGTAACGAAATTAAATATGTATAAACAATAAATATTTTAAGTAACTTTTTAGCAAATCTTACTTGGCAAGCCTTGAAAATTTGTGCACCGCGGGCGGCCCAGATAAGAAAGCTGCTTCGGCCGTCTCTGCAAAGCCTAACGATGGTTTTTGTATCCTCCTGCACAGCTCGTGGGCTGTTTTCACGAGAACGTGGACGCAGTAGGTGCAAATACCGCCGATGAGGAAAGTTGCCACCAGACCGAAGTACAGACCAGCGTTCATAAATGCCATCGGCATAGCCAATATGCCACTACCCAGTGATCCCTTCAACAAGTGAATAAGAGTATCCATATCCCTGAAAACCAAGAAATGAACTTATTTTAGTTATTGATACTTATTTTATTCTATTATAAAGTAATGTTTATTGATATTTATTTTAGTCTATTATAAAGTAATGTATATTAAAAATTTTAACGTGAACTAATGCTTCGATAAATATTTTGAAGGAGTTGTCTGCTTATACATTCTAGTTGGATTCTTCCTATATTGCTTATATTGATTGACAACAGAAGTATTGTGTCTCAACTAGTTAAAACGCCTCAAGGACGAAACAAATACTTATTATAAGTTATAACTTTATTGTGCTATACTATAAAACTTACGACGTAGGGTGCGCCAGTTTTCGGTGCTCGAACGGGTTGTAAGTCTCATCCGCCTCAATATCGCGACCCGGGATCTCCATGAGAGGCAGCGTGGAACCCGCCTGCTGTTCCACTGGGATCTCATTGGGATCAACTTTGTACCTGTGGAGCGGTCACCGAGCACTGTTATAGCTAATGTCATCTCGTCATAAGCGTCATTAAACTTAGAAATAGATGTTGATAGGTTAACAGTGAGTGGGTATAAGAGTGTAGTTTTATTCACTATACTGATTTCAAGCACACAAATGTAATGGTAGCCTAAGTGAAACGTAGAAAGCGCCACATTGGAAGCTTATGGTGATTCAATCGGGGTGTGATTCGAGGTGTAACGCGGCCGCGGTCCTAACTGTTCGGTTTGTATCCGCGAATGCTACTGTCATCAGTCTGTGGCAACTGTTAATTTTACGCGAAATTACTATTCCTTGTTAGTATATAGTCTCATCTGTGTAAGTGTTCTGGGTGAAGTGTGATACATTCATTATGGTCTCCAAAATGTTTAGATTTTTTGTGCGTTCACTCTATTAAGCCTCGGCATTTACAAATTTATGGCCCAACCGTAAAATTTAATACAGCTTTACGTAAATGTCTTTGTCTATTATTGTATAAAATAATAATTTTGAATAGTGTCTGAAAACAAGCTGGTTTTAGAAGCAAAACTCGCATTCCAGAGTAATGAATAGGTATACAAGAGTATGATTCAGCCAATGATTTTTTAGTCAGTGATGGACATAAAGCTAGATCAAATTTGTACAAAATATGGATAGATTGAGAGCCAATCCCGAGCCTGAACAGAGATGGCGCACGAGAGTGAGGCGGGCGTCCTGCGCGCGCGCAGGTGTCATCATGCGCAACTCTCGAGTAACCATATTTTTTTAAACAATTACCAGTACCAAATATTATATATAAACAAAATTGAAACCATAAAATGGAATGATGTACCGGTGTATGAGTCCATTGCAAGATGATCAGTCGACGAACGACTTTAATCTCGTGGAAGCAGCACACGTCTTCCCGGATCGTCTCCGAACGGCGTCGAGCGTTATTATTAGCTCTTTATAAGGAGCAAGTACTTAACAGTGAACATACAATATAAAATACCATTATACGACAAAACATTGTTCAATAAATCAAGCCCGGGTCGAGATGACCCGCGCCGTTACTTAAAAAGTACCGATGACGGTACTTTAAACTTGATAGTAAATAGACTAGTCTTTTCAATGTCCTGTTGAACAAAAATGTTATTATTATTCCAATAGATTTGTTCCGAATTCATCCATTAATAGACAATAAATCTCAAAATTGCCAGAAAATGATGTGAAGCTGTGAAGCATGCTAAGTTGATATTTTTTTTTAATTTAAAGCAGAAAAAACAACAAAAATGTTCGGATGTGGTATCAGACTAAACAGATTATTAACACACATGGCGGTCAAAGCTGAAGGCCGATGGACGGTGGAGGATGCGTCTTCCCCATAAGAAAGAAACATTATCACTTACTTGACCATAACGACATCTGAAAGGTCATTTTTAACTCCTTTTCTCTTGGGATCATATTCGGCTATCATCGGCCGCAATTGGGGTTTCTGAAAAGAAGAGAATGCCGTGTTAATTATTTGCACATTTATCGCTTCATCTATACTAATATTATAAAGAGGAAAAGTTTGTGAGTTTGTGAATTCGGAGTTTGTAACGTTACGGTAGGGTAGGTTATCTCTGGATCTACTGACCCGATTTAGATGAAATTTGGTAAGAAGATAGTTTGAGACCTTGGGAAGGGCATAGTCCATAGAATACCTTTTATCCTGGTGATCGTACCTTAAGAGTTCATTGCTTGTTTCACGGTATTCAGCGCAATATTTATCTACAGCTTATATATATTTCGCTGTGCCGCAAAATCATTCCAGCATAGGCATAGTACAGCATTAAACTGCCTCGGTGGTGTAGTGGCTAGCATGTACGGCTGCACACCCGGAGGTCCTGGGTTCGAGTCCCGGGTCGGGCCAAGTTTAGTTATTGAGTCTTCCTGTATAGTAAGTCTCAGTAACAGCCCGGAGTTGGGAAGTTGGTGGTGTTTCACCCCCGTGCCTCGGAGAGCACGTAAATCCGTCGGTCCTGCGCCTTAACTCTCACCGGTCGTGTCGAGTGGTCGTCCCACCGGAGTATGAGAGTGATAGGAATAGAGAGTGCACTTGTGTCTGCGCGTACACTTGAGCACTATAATATCTCTTGCGCAGTTGGCTAATCTCATTGAGATTGGCCGCCGTGGCCGGAATCGGCTAGGAGAACATCATTCCAGCACTGAGACCGCATACGTCTCCAAAAGCAGACTATCAATTAATTTTTCATCATTCAGTAAATTCTGTGTATCAACATAGCATTAAAAATAAATCATATGCTCATACTATAATTATTATGCTGCTCTGAAATACGTAATAAATACCAGCGTCTAATATTAAACAAAACAGCAGTTTTCATACGCGAATAAGCAGCACATGATGTTTATGCCAGAACGGCAAAGCCATAATACTATAGTACTCTTGTATTTATCATTGGTAGGCATATTTTGATAAGCAAGACGCCACGCTGACGGCTGGCCGATCGACCGCAGTGGCTAGCGCGGTTGTAGCTTGTTCACGTGATCCCGATGTTATTTTCGTTGGCTAAAAATAACTAACTCAAGTACATAAGACTCGCGAATCTCCGGCGCAACTTATCGTCCCAATTTACAACGGTTTGTATTTAAAGCTAGCCCTTTAGACTAGCTAATCAAAATACTTTTTAATAACTAAGAATGACAGTACGAAATATTTCATATCTATACAAATATTATAAAGAGGTAAAGTTTGTGAGATTGTGAGTTTGTAACATTGTAGGGGGTAATCTCTGGATCTACTGATTCGATTTAGATGCAATTTAGTAAGAAGATAGTTTTAGATCCTGGGAAGGACATAGAATATTTTTTAATTTCCGAAATCACCCTTTAAGGGGGTGAAAATGGGGATGAAAGTTTGTATTGGAAAGCAAGCTAGGGACGAACCCGAGCGAAGTGAGGGTGAATCGCTACTAATAATATAAAAACGAAACTTTATTTGAAATAATTAAAAAAAACTAACTCGTGAATCAACACTGAGTTTGAGTACTGTTGTCCCAAGGATCCGCTAATAATTGTTATCATAGTCCGTATATAACAAACAGAATAAGTTTTTTTAGAACAACTTGGATGGGAAAATGGTCAACTTAGTAACGTTTTCGGTAATTGATGATTATTTCTAATATACAAAAAGTATATAAACCATGCTTCTGGTTGCGATGAAATGTTGTCAATAGTTGCATCCATCCTGGATTTATTGGCCTAAGCATCATAAGTACAATAATGAAATAATTAAAGTTTTTTTTTAATAAGAAATAGATAGTCGTAGGAGAGTAAAAAAAGGGTTATACCTTTAGGTAAACTTTCCAAAAGATAGTAAGAGTACAGCAATTAATATTTATTTCCAACATTATGTATATATGTATTTAAAAATTACAATAAAAATAAACAAATAAACTCTTGATTTATTCATTATAGCTATTCACGTGTCACCAAACAGAAACCCTTTAATAGTTAGTTTTAGAAAATCATGCAAACCAGTAAAACGTGATTTCTTTTCAATATGGCTTATTGAAGTTTCCTTTTGTTCTGCCTAAGTAGTCTACAGGGCTAGGGTGTACCCCTGAAGTTGCGTAAGTCACAAATTCTACAATTCTTTGTACACGTGCAATTTAATTCCCCTCGTTGACTACTTTGTTATGTTTAGTGTACTTTTAACAATTTTGAACTTTACATAAAAGGGTTAAGAGTTCTATTGCTTAGCCATCAATAGTCGTCGACCGCACTGAGTGTGCTAACTGGTCGGAACTGGTTCCGAATAATAAATTGGGAATCGTTCGCTTCGCGACGCATCCTTCAGGTCTATTTTAAGATGAGACTCTTGTGAATGAGCATTACATGACAATGAAGATGCTTCAAAGAGCATGCAATTTTATTTTTACGTCCTTCGTCTTCAATCGGAGGGATCAGTTCCTGGCACACCTCTTGGCATTATGCCTACTCGCGTGTTGTTTTATTTATTTTAGTGATTTCAGGGATTTGGTTGATCATATTTTATGTAAAGTGTGAATAAACTATAGCTCAGCTATAGCTCTCCGTCCTTTAAACTATATTAATGGGCAAAATAAAGTTAATCCTTTGACCTATTGCTCCATCAAAGAATAACCAACAAACGTACATTGACAAATATAATTTATAATATTATTAAGTGTTATTAGGCTTAGCAGCAAATGTAAGTGATAAAAAAAATATTTTCAATCAAATCCAAATATGAAATTGAATATTTTAAGCGCACCTACTTGTTTGAGTCAATCAGTATGTATGATGTAAGTTACACGCAGAATTGGCTACTGTGACGCAAAGTAATGGCTTGTTTCAAATTACTGTATAAATAGCTCACCTATTAATGTTTAAAGAAGATGGGTAAGGAGAGATAGCATCGAATAATGAACGTTCAACTGAAATAAATCTTGGTCTGTCAAGCAGTTGAGTTGCACAGGTCTTTTAACAAACTACTGATTAATTAATTTCTGTCCTCATAAATAAGTGGATCTTCTGAGATACGCTTAGGTAGATATGTCATTATTGTATCAATGTTTTTATTACTAACATCGATTGTATAAAGTCAACACGTCTAGCCCTTTGCTTAGAAACAATTTACAGTAATCAGCGAGCTATGGTTAGTTGACTTCTCGAATCTTCGCATGTTCAGTGTATAAATAATGTCAACAATAGAACACGTCTATCCCCACTATAACGTCATTGTGGACCGTCACGAGGCGTTAATAAGTAATTCTATTTAGTTCTGCAATACAAGCACCTATTGTTGGGGGAAGTGATGCGCATTTTTCTAAATTGAACCCCAAGGTCAACAAATTATTTATATCAATCTCTGAAGACACGCCTCCCCATGTAACGAAGTCACGATTTGATAAAACTTCATAATGCGCTTGTTTATAGTAAATGCTTGTGTGCGATTAGCTTTCGCGCTCAAAATTCTTATGCTCTACATTTTTAATATAGAAGATATTTTTTTTTATATTTTTACATAACACTGTGGATTTAAGTATAACAAAAATTTTGCAGTATTGTTTTGTAATTTTTTCGGTAAAACTTTTCTTGAATCATTTATGGAAATAAGAACGTTACGTTACCAACAAACATTCATATATCTATACTTATTATAAAAATAAGTCCCCCGGCCGCGTCTTTCTGTCCTCCTGTCTGTCTGTACGCGATAAACTCGAAAACTACTGAACGGATTTTTATACGGTTTTCAACAATAGAAAGAGTAATTCTTGAGGAAGGTTTAGGTATATAATTTATTATGCTTTTATGTAAATTAGCTGAAATACGGCGACAAATGTTGAAGAGGTCGCAAAAAATCTCGCCAAATGGGAACTTTCCACGCGAACGCCGCGTAAACTAGCAAAGATACAGTTAAGTAATGTACTAGAGAATTCAAAATCTATAAAAATGCTACAAAAAAGTCCGCGATAGCATATCTCTATCTCTTACGGTTGACTTACAATAACCACTTTTATGTTAACATTTTTAATTAAAAACATTACGTTATTTTCAAAGTTATTTTCTTTAGTTCGGTATTAATCCTTATCCAAATGAATATTTTAGTTAGCTTAGTCATTTAATGCAGATTAAAATTGCTCTTTACACTAAATCAATCAGATGAATAGTTTTTGAGATATCGTTGTTAGAAGTAATTAGTAGCGAAACATTTTTAATGCTTGGCGAGCATTGAGATGCCTACGGCGAGTCCATCCCCTCTGCCCCGCATCGCTCGACCGCCTGCTCAAGCTATATAAACCGGGCGATGTAGCGCGCGATCCTAGGATACTTTTTACCGCGGGAAAATATCTTATTTCTGAGGAAAAATACAAAAACTGCAATGTAAGAGTATACTAATATGTAACACCTAAGAATTTAGTTTTTGGTCATCTGAACGCGGGCGGAGCCGCGGGCAATGCTAGTTTATTATAAATGTGAAAGTTGGTGACGATGGCTATTTGTTATTGTTTCCCGTCAGACCCGCTGAACGGATCTGGATGAAATTTGGCACAAAGATAGATTATAGTCTGGATTAGCATACAGATTACGTATACATAAAAAAATACATTACCCTCATTCTGAGACTGTTGGATAAAATAGTTTACTTATACGGATATATAAAAATGTTTTAAGTTGAATTTCATATACATATGTATGTATATAGCATGCTATATAGCGTTATGGATAGTCTCGTATAATAGTTTTGCAATAGAGCCATGTACTAGGGTATGATGAACGCGAGGCGTGGGTTGCAACTTGCAAGGTAATCGATATTACACATACATACATACGAACTTATATATACCAATTGGAAGCAAGTGCGAGGAGTGTTGCACCGCAAATGAAATTGAAAGTTACATGCGCATTGCAACCCTTGTGGCGACGGAAAGTTTCGTTCGATCTTTCTCTACCATACAAAAACACGCA